TTTTACAATGCAACAAAAATATTTAAATGAGCATGAAACTATTCAAATCTCTATAATGCACAAATAATATAACAGTATATTAGTCTGTCATTTTATTAGGATAAACAGAGATTTGATGATGTTTTTCATTTAAGGCTCACCCACAACTGATCTGGAACATCCACAACTGGAATCCTAATGATGTCGTGCCTGATCCACACCCAAAGAAGTCCTGGTATGCTCATGTTTAATGCAGGGCGGGCACTATGACGTAATATGAGCTCAGTGCTGAGGCTGTATTTTAGGTGGATAAATAGAAGCTCGTACCTCAGTTGAATGTGTCTGTGTCTGTGGTGAACATCATGAAGTTCTCTGTCCTCTGCCTCCTGACTGTGGCCTTTGTGCCTTTGCTCTCTGCTCTGAAAGGTCAGTCACTTTGAATATAATTTTAAATGGAAAATGTAGTATGTCTATGTTGTATAGTCACAGTTCTATGACCTCGCATAGCTTCATATGGTGTAATTTTCCCACAATGTCAACTGATTGTATCAACTTATTTGTTTTGGTAACATTTACTACATCACAAATGCATTGAACTGGAACATTTGCATATATATATATATATATATATATATATATATATATATATATATATATATATATATATATATATATATATATATAATTTTTTTTTTTTTTTCTTCTCATTAAAAATTCAGACGATACTGAACGTTGCCCAGTGAGCATTTTGAAAGATGCTGTCAACCCTTGCGATGAGCAGTGCTCCACAGAGAGGCACTGTAAGGAGTGGAACATGAAGTGTTGCCACACAAGCTGTGGGCACCTGTGTTACGACCCAGTTAGAGGTAACATGTCCCCCTGGAATATGTATGTGGATGTTGTTTTGTATCAACTTATTTGTTTTGGTAACATTTACTACATCACAAATGCATTGAACTGGAACATTTGCATATATATATATATATATATATATATATATATATATATATATATATATATATATATATATATATATATATATATATATATATAATTATTTATTGATTGATTTTTCTCATTAAAATTCAGACGATACTGAACGTTGCCCAGTGAGTGTTTTGA